TTTTGATCCATTCATCCTATCCTTTTTTGAATATTATAATGAGTTTGGTCCTTAAATTTAACTTGTTTTCTCAACACAATTTGCCTCTCAAGAATTAATATCTTTTCTAACAATTTTTCTTTTATTATTTTCCTCCAAACTATCCTATTATTGCAGCATTCTTTAGAAAAAGATAGATTTATTATATATTGCTTGTCATATCATGAGATTTATATATTATTTATTAAATGAAGGGTATTTAAAAAAAAATTAACACGCATTTTTACTCTTAATCAATTTCATCAATATATGTGAATTAGTTAATTAGTTCTCATATTTACAATCAGCGTTGTATAAAAGATTATACGGGACTAGACTTCGACCTAACTTGAAGTCTAGTCTCTTTTATAAAAAGAATTGGATTAAATAACTCGTAATTCAGTCTAGTTTAATGATAATTTAAAGATTAAGAGAATTGAATTTAATCTATAAGACTGAGATATTAGTTTTGTTAGTCCAATACTTACTTAGCTTTTTTTTTCTTTTTTCCTCTATGAGAAGCAATAAACCATTTAAACCTAATAAACTCAATTAAGATAATAAAAATACTTATAGTTATAATAAATTCATAATAATTCCCAACAACAAGAAAAAAGTTTCAATTACAGTTTAAGTGGTTCGAATTATTAGATTTTTAATTTGAGCGTACGATCGTGCGAGAAACCAGACTTATTAAATTATTAATAATTTTAACTTATTATTATAAATAATTAGTAAATTAATTATAATCATATTAAATAAATTTAATAGGACCATATTAGATCAAGTAGTCCAGATACTCAGTCTTCTGTCTAGTCTAACCAGAAGAAACAATTTGATCTTTTTAGTCTTTTCAATCCTAAAAGACCAATTTTCAATGGGGCTGGACTTTCTCTAGTTAGATTGGGTCAAATAAGACTAGAGGATTTCTGCACAGCCCTATCTACAATCATATAAGATATAAATATATATAATAAATGAAAAAACTACTAATTATGTCTGATAATATTTAAATTTGATCTAATCACATAAGGTAAAAAATATTAATCTAATCAAAGAGGCATATGAAAATCATAAAAAGAAGTTGTAGGGTTGACGATGACATATATGTCAGAAAACTAACGTTAACAAAATAAGATAGTAGCCTATGATCTAAAATTAGCGAGGTAGTTATTGAAATGGTTAGTTATTTTAAAACATTAAAATAACTCTATACTATTTTAAGATAACAACCTATATATTGATCTTATATAATTTGTAGACATCACATTTTACTATATCAACAACTAGTATAGCACTCGTGTTATAACAACTTAAAACAAACACTTTCTTCATGTTATTCTGTACATATTAGAATTGTGTAATTATCATTATTAATATTAAATATGAAAATTAAGTTATTTTTTTAAAAAAAGTGCAAGGACTAAAAATAAAATATGAGCAAAGTATAAAGACTCAAAATTATATTTTTTTAAAAAAAATAACAGTTAAATTTGGCATCACTTTAAAGAAGACAATAAACATGAAAACTTACGTTAGCATCTTGAAAAAAAAAATTTAAAATTTTGAAATTGTTTGATAAAGTTTACTTGACCATATATCATAAATGAATCACTTGGACCATGATATATTAGTGGCCACACCTTAGCTTGTTAGCTTGTAGAAATGATAACATGGACAACATCAATGAAACATCAACCTGAGGTAATAAAATGTGAGATAATTAATACTCATACAAATTAATGAAGAGACCAAAACAAAAAATAATGAGGCACTAGAGTATATAATAGAATAAAAAACTAATGAAATACAAGGAAAAAGCCATAATCAATAATAGTGAACATGTATCAATACAACTCTATTTATAATGAGTACTTATGCTGACATTAGAAGGAATTTCAAATTTGAACTTTTAAGCAAATCAAATCTAAATTAAAACCCAAAAAAAAAAATAACCGATTAACTAAATAACCTATTAATGAATCCTAGTATAAATGCAGTTAATTTTTAGATATTTATTTTGAATTCAAATAAAATACCTATCAAATATTAATTTTTAAATATATATCAAGTTTTTGTTTTGCCAACATCAAATTATATATATATATATATATGTATTTATTTATTTATTATCATATGCTCAATTATATGAAGCTTAATTTTTAAAATATCTTTCAAAATTTTTGGAAATCAACAGGATAGATCATATTTGAATTTCAAATATATAAAAATTAATTTTTATATCAAAAAATAATATAAATAGATAGATATTAATTTTAATTCATATGTATATAAAAATAAATACTTGATTGTACCAAGTTTAAATTTTTGGAATATCATCCAAAGTTTTCAGAAATCTTCAAGATAGATTAGATTTGGATTTGAAATAGATAAAAATTAATATGTATATAAATCATAAAATTAATAATTCATCTCATACTTAACTTTAAACTTGAATAATGTGTATATATATATATATATATATATGTATATTAACAAATAATAAATTATCTCCAACTTAATCCAAACCTAATTCTAGAACACATAATTGTAAGAAAGGCATTTCAAATCATAAAATTACAAATTTGCAGCAAATTTAAAATTAAATATGTAACATTCTCTCATAGTCTTTAAACTTACCTATATATATATAATGATAATGATGATTTCTCACATATACATATTATAATATATAATATATATAGGTAGAAGACTATTATAATTGAGGTAAACAATCAGAAGATAATGATAACACCTCAGCCCAAACCAAAATAAGGAATAAATTATCAATAATGTGCGAAAAAAAGGGGTGAGATCTCATATAGAAATTTGGGCGCACTTATTGCAGGATTTTTTTTTTCAAAAAAATAAGTATTTTTGTTATTTCCAAATATATAAATTTTCATGTATCAAATTATTTTATTTATTTATTATTTCCCAAACCAAATAAATAGAATAATGAATACAATAATTAACACCTGGTCAATGCACATAACGAAATACAATATGACAAAAAAATAAAAGATAATTCTAAAGATGAAAAATGAATTATGTGTGTTTGCTCTAAAGTTAATAAAAATTATAAAATTTATAATTATAATAAATAAACATTCCATTAAAAGTCAAACCAATTTATTTTATAGTCACCAGTTCAAGTCCTGTCCTGTTAAATAAACATGTTAGAGGCATTTTCAAAATACTCATGAGGTTCCTATAATGAGTAATAATGATTTCACACAAGAAGATTTTAAATTAGTGAAGTCTCACTTTAGATTTACTTCCCAAACCCTACACATCAGTACCTTCTCAGAGCCGAAGAGAAGTCTCCTACCACTCGTGTTTGGTGGCGTGTATTAGGTGCGATGTAGCTTGGAAGCTACCCGTTTGACTGTTTCCATAAGTCACGCCTGTTAGATTATTTTCATTTATAATCGAAAATTTCAACCTAATTAATTAAAGAAACAAATAATTTACTTCTTAAAGAATCTAATCTAATCGTCACGAAATCTACTGATCTTGGAGTCCCCCACCTATGAAGAATCAATAAAAGCTATAAACAAACGCATTTGCCCTTTTCTAGTCATATATCTCCTCTCCGGTAACAGAATCTAGTTCCAGAGCTTTAAAACACCACCGCCTACATTTTTTTTTAAATTACCAAGAATAAAAGCATTATTCTTTTTTATTTAATAATAAAATGAATATGTATTTTTGTTAATCATTTAATATATGATTCTACAAATCATATATATATATATATATATTTAACTAATTTTGGGTCCCTTTATTTAAGATAAAAAATGAATAATTTTTTAGATAGTTAAAGCAATTTAGCTAAAGATTGTATGAAAAGGTATTTATTTTTTAGAGATTTTATAAAAAGAAGATATTATTTTATGTTAGGTTATAATAATTAAAAGTGATTATTATTTAATTATTTTTAAATTTTATGGTATATTCATAAATCTTTATTATTTATAAAAATAATTTATTATTTAATTATTTTAAAATTTTATTATATCTTTATATATGTCGGCAATTTTATTGTATGCTTCCCCATTTATTGCATTAGATTATTTTTACTAACTATTTAAAATATATTTTTAAAATAATTAGAAATATTTTTTTAAATTTTTATTTTTTTTAAAGATCTAAAATAAATCTTGTAAATTTTACAAAATAATTTAAAAAAAAAGCTTAAACAGAAAGGCTCTTAAATAAATAGTTGAAAGTTGGAATATCAATTATTATTAGAAGGGATTTATCATTTACGCCAAATATCTTGTAGGAGATCAATCTATATTATTAACATGTGATTTTTCTAATAATCTTTTTTATCCACAAGATTCTGTCTTTTTGATGTTGTTTAAGAACAATAGAGTCTATTCTACTGGACTCAATTATCATTAGTTTTGGTTTTGGATAAATATAATTTTTAAATTTTATACTTTACTCACATTTTACTTTTGATCCTTATAACTTTATTTGGTGTTTTAGATCTCTATCTTTTTATTTTTTATTATTTTGAATCCTTTCAATATCCTTATATTTTGTTTTTAGAGAAATCAAAAATAATAAAAAATAAATGTGTAGAAACTTAAAACATTAAAAAAATAGGGATTAAAAATAAAATGTGAGTAAAATACAGGAATTAAAAATTATATTTACCTTTTTTTGAGCAAATTATCATTAGTTAATAGTAGCAAAGATTTGTTATACATATTAATTAATCATCCTTGAGAGAACTTGTTTTTAACTTTTGTTTCCTTGCGTTCGTTGTTAAAAATAAATCATCACTGAATATTTAAAAATAATCACTTTCTTCTATTTTCTATGCCCATTCTTAATTCCTATTTTAATTAATTAATTAATTATATTTCAGCTTTCAATATTTTATTTTTGTCGCACGTGTGTTTGTTTATTGTTAATATTTGTGATTTGTGATTTCATCCCCATAGAGCTCCCAGGATAACGGTGGTGCCAGACGACCTATAAAAGTAAACGCGCATCTTTTTATTCAGCCGTGATTCTGCTCAGTGTCTCAGAAGAACCTTTTGGAGCTATCAGTATTCAATTATTCGTCATCGTCAGTGACGTTCACAGGCATTGAGCTGAATCCCATGCTCTGATTTCTATAAGCCAAAAGCAGCCCAATCGTTCCTTTTTTCCTTTGAATTACCAGCTCTTTCGGAAATTCGAAGGATCAAACGGCGACTTGGGAAGGTCACGCAAGTGACGTCAATCCCATTCACAGAGTCTGAGAGATTCCGTTAATACCCAACCATTTACTGCTTTTCTTCTCTGTTGTGTGTATTCTGTTTCTGCGCATTTACCCAAAATGAGTTCTGTCGTTCAGGTAACTTCATCCTCGGTTGGACCCCTGGATTTGATTCCCTTTTGCCTTTTGGTTTGGTCCCTGATTCTGTTGTCTTCCTTTTTTAGGGTTTCACCAAGTCTCTGGCTATGACTGTGCTCTCTGAAATCGGGGACAAAACATTTTTCGCTGCTGCGGTGAGTTTTTTGAGGGAAAGTTTGTGTTTGTTCTTCTTCTGTTTTTTTTTCTAATACAGTTTTGTTGCTTTCAACTAAAGCCGAAAACTAAATTTTGGCCAATAACATTCAGTGGTTTAGCTGCTGGCGATTTATTATGCAAGTCAATATATTTTCTTATTTTATTTAAAGATCGTTTGAAGGGAGAACATTCTTTTATCCGCTGTGTACATCATCTAAGAACTAAGTACCCTGGATTGACGGGTTGGATACTGTGGGCCAGTATGTGTTAGAGATTAACATGTTATTATCGACAAGAACATCCAGAGATATTGCTCTGTTCGCCTTCTTTCTTGCTTATCTATTTCATTATTCTATTTCTCCTCCTCCTCCCCCCTTCGGTTGCGTCTTTTCCTGCAATTCTGTGTTTAATATTTGACAAGTAACTGCTAAAGTGTTAACAAATTCTTCTATTTCAGTGAACTCATTATGAATTAGCTATCAGCCGTTGTCCTGTTCTCAATCAGAACACTGACTATCTGTTATGATGATGTTTTTCTCCAGATCCTGGCTATGCGTTACCCCAGACGGCTTGTCTTGTCAGGTTGCCTATCGGCGTTGATTGTAAGAATTTTTTCCCTTCCTATTTGGTTCATAGCTATCTTTCTGTTTTTGTTAAAATTAATAGATTATTATGTCATATCTGATATTTTCTATAACTCTAAAGTTCTTGAGGAAATTTGCAAAATTTAGGTTATGACCATTCTATCAGCTCTTGTTGGTTGGGCTGCTCCAAATCTGGTAAGCATTCTTTGTTGCTTGTGAAACTTGGCAGTTCTCGTCATTGTTCTGCGTGTTGATTAATAGATCTTTTCAGAGGTGTTATCTTTGCATTTAATGAATATGTTGCAAGTACTCAACCCAGGTGTTTAGTTTGAATGCGTCACAAAGTCTTTCAATCCACTAGATGAATAGACAACAATAGCAATAATCTAAAATATGTTGATTCATTGAATATGCAATCTGTGCTGGTCCAGTTCCCTCCAACGCTAAATATAACTTGTTGATTGAACTGTAATATTGATTGAGTGAATAATTGCAAGAATACCCACATAATTATTTACTGTTGATGTTCTATTAAGGTTTTTCTTATACAAGATAACTTTGAAGGTAAGACATGGCTAAAAAGATTGCTTGACACTGGGTTTTAACATGTTACATCTTAACCCTAACTACATATGGTTGCTTATCAATTAGTTATTATTAGTTATCATGTTCCATTCTTAAGTGAACATGCATGTGAAGTCAAGTGCGGTTTTCTTTATGAAGCTCATGTAGCAAGCTCTTGTTTAAGCATGCTACATTTTTCTTTGGTTCTTGCACGTATTAATCTTTGTGTAATTCTACAGATTTCTCGTAAATGGGCTCATCACATAACAACATTGTTGTTTTTGGGGTTTGGGCTCTGGTCCTTGAAGGATGCGATATTTGAAGAAGGGTGATGATTATTATATCTGACATTCAATTGCTGGTCCTTTTCTATCGAAAGCAAGTTCTCATCTGCATTGATACTTTGTTTGCTGATGCTAGATTATTTTACTGGACAGGGAGTCTGAAGAACTGGCTGAAGTTGAAGCAAAATTGGTTTGTTGTGCTTTTATTTGATCTCTTATTTCAACTTCAGTCTTTCTTTACTTTTTGACATCATCCTTTATTGTGATTAGGATGCTGAATACAAGGCTAATGGCGGATCCACAAAAGATAGCAACAAGGTATAACATTAATAGTCATCCAACATAAAAAGTTTTGCCTTTTCCTCTCTTTGCCTTATCAAGGGCTATCTATTGGTCATGCTATTAACAAATACCTATGAAACCAAAACGGGTGCACATGTTGGATACAACACAATACGATACGTAAGATACATCAATTTTTAAAATTTTAGAGTACAGTTATGGAGGATATATAAACGTATATAATTATTTATATACTTATTTGTGTAATTAATATATCATCTAATTAAAAGCAAAAATGAGTATTAACTGTTCTAAACATTTTATTATAAATGCTAAAACAAACTACATGCATGAATAAATTGTCTGTAACAACTTACAAATAAAATCCTTGTTCTTAACACAAACACATAATTGGACAAAATAAAATGTAAATCATTGTATTTCTATAAATGTTTATGACACCCTTACAAAGGTGAGCTCTGCCTCACCTTCATAAGGGTTCTATTTTACTCTTAAAATTGGTAGCAATGTTGGTGGATGTAAGGTGGTACGACGGGTCTGTATCTTTAAGCATGGAATGCATTTTGTATCGTCTATCCGATATGTGTATGACTACCTTTTTAAAGTATTGAATGCTAAACAAGTACATGGTTAAACTTGTTGATATTTTGTTGGATTTATAAGGTTGTTATCATTATTTATCATATTGAATACTAAACAAGTACATGGTTAAAATTGTTGATATTTTATTGGATTTATAATGTTATTGTCAATATTTATCATATGTCAACTCATGTCATGTAGGTAAAATATATTGTTATGAACTTATGAGTAATGGAGGGGTGGAAGCCTTGATCGTGTTCAATACAGCTGGTTGACAATTTCTAGCAGTCATATAGTGACGTTTTATCTTCTCATATTATAGCTTGTGAACCCATTCGTGTTAGCCTAGTTTTGGATGGAGTGCATACAAAGTTGAAATCAGGATCTCATGGGATTTGGGAGACTTTTGCGGGGGTTTTCCAAATATTACATTCTTCCTATGTGTATATCTTATGCAAATTTTTGCTGCGTCCACGCATGAAGAGAATAAAAATAGTTGTACCTACCCATAAAAAAAAAAAAAAAGATTTGAACAGTTGGCGTCTGACCTCAAAGAATCTTGTCGCAGATATTGTAATAAAACTGATTGAATTTCTATAAGTCTTATTATTATATTTATTATGTATAATTTTACATTAATAAAAAATTTTATGATTATCATTTGGTGAGATGGTCCTTGGGAAAACCTTTATACCTGCTGTAGTGGCAAGTGGCAACCAAGAGACTAATTCAGATAAATATTTTACATATTAATTGTTCTACAATTATTTAAACATTGAATATTGCTCTAAGTCTCGTGGAACAGCTTCAATACCAATTTGTCAATAATGATGACTCCTTATTGTACTTGAGGGGATTTTTAACAAGATTGAAATTTTATAGAGTTGACCTTCTGTGTGAAGTTATATAGATATATATTGTTTTTGGATAAGTGCAGAAATGCATTGCTATACTCCTCTGGTGCATTATGACTGTGTCCATGCTAAACTGATGCATGGATATATCTGAGGTGCAACAAGGAGTTTTCTAGTTGCCATTCCCAGAATTGATCACTTTTAGAGCTGATTTGTCAGATGACGTACTTGGTGTTCTCAATAATGCACATTTTATGTTCCCAACTTCTCATTTCCAGGTTAATGATGACATGAAAAAGCATGAACGGCCCCTTTTCACTCAGTTTTTCTCTCCTATATTTTTAAAGGTAGATGAATTTTATTTCATCTAAACATTATTTTTCTAATCGCTAAGCTACCTATCTGATTCACATTATCATGTCCGTAATGCAGGCATTTTCTATCAACTTTTTTGGTGAGTGGGGTGACAAGAGCCAGGTTAGCATATTTACATGTATATTTGTTTTGTTTGGTGATTAGAGACTTTGGATCAGCGCTTAGCATCAATTCATTCTGTTCTGTTTCAGTTAGCTACCATTGGTTTGGCTGCTGATGAGAATCCATTTGGTGTGGTTCTTGGCGGCATTATGTAAGTTTTGACTATCCTATCTTTGAATTTGAGTCATCCTATTTTATGTGTATATATTTTGGGATTTTTTTTGGCCCATGTTATTTCAGTGTTTTCGTTCCTGAATTCTGCATAAACACTTGCGAATGTGCATGCCTTGCACATACAATTTTCTTGCCTTGAACCATACACATGGCTGCAGGATGTTTCGCATGCCTAAAATCCAGCAACTACTTGGTAGATAACCGTAATTTCTGTTTTTTATTTTTCTTCAGTGGACAAGCGTTTTGCACTGCTGCTGCTGTTGTTGGAGGAAAGAGTTTGGCATCTCAAATATCTGAAAAAATAGTAATACATTTTATCCTTTTCTTGTCTACCTTGAGTATTGAAATTTCACTTTCCAGCTTTGGCTTTACCCATGCATGATTTACTTGAGATATGTTGCCCGCATGTTATGCTTCCCACACTACATAGTTGGTATCATTTGTCTTTTTAAAAAATCCCTTGGATCAAGTTTACATCGTAACTTCTCCAAAATGGGTCAATATAAGTTTTAGACTTCCAACAAACAAACAGAGGAAAAATGAAGAATTTTGAATTTAGTGAAATTTATTTACCTTCAACAGATAATGAAGGGAACATATGTGTGAGCAATATATCACAGATTAACCGCAAGTTGGTAGAATGAGTTTTGTTTTCTGTATTTCTGGCTTTATATTATTTTGAATGACTGGTGTAATAGTAAAATTGAACTTCATACCTCGCAGATTGCACTCTCAGGGGGAGTTCTGTTCATTGTATTCGGAATCCAGTCATTCCTCACTCCAATTGAATGACGAAGGCTATGCTATTGCCTATTGGTCTGCTCTTACAGATGTTATTGTGGGTTGGCAGCCAAAAGAATTCGACTTATTGCCTTAGGTATTGTTGGGGTAAAGGTGATTTTTTCCAAGTACCCTTTTTCATATAATTTATGGGTTAGAATCCAATAAACATAGCTGGACAAGATCTGAATCCATAAGTTCAGGCAAGTGTACTATTTTTTTCTTTTTCTTTTTCTTTTTTGGGTGAATTGTACTATTTTCTGCTTTAATTGCGGAACTCTACTATTCATTTTTGTCTTCCTCTTCTGCATTGTGAACTCATCCATTTACCAAGTTTTCTTTGACAAGAGGAATCAAATAACCAATTTGGAAACTGATAATTATGGACCTTATAAAGACGTCAATAACAATTGAAGATGTCAAAATATTGACATGCTAAAAAAGGACCTCCGGTCATTATTTGCAATTAAAATACTTATTATTGAAATAACCTTGTGAATTTAAGAAAAATTGTTTGTTAATTTAATGAAGATCACTTGTGATTATATAGAAAGTTGGTTATGAATGAATAGATAATTTTATGGATTCAAATCTTCTAAAGTTGAAATTGGTAAATTTGGACGAAGTTTTCCTTTTTCTTTTTTTCCTAGTATTTTTATTCATTTTATTAATTTTTATAAAATATAAACTTTTCTCTCCCTTTTTTAAAAAGGAAAACTTCACATAAATTCACCAATATCCAATTAAGAGGATTTAAATCCTAGTTTTATGAATATACCCCCACCGTCCTTCTATATGAAATTTTTTTTATTTTTTTATCCCTAAAGATAAGATATTGTTAATATATTTTTTAATAAATGGATCATTATATTCTTATTACATTGAAAAGAGAAAAGGAAAAGTACTTATAAATTTACTTTAAAAAATTATTTTTTATTTGCAATAATTAGGAGCAAAATTAAAATGTTGTGCTTTTAAATAGATAATAATTTTTTTATTAATTTACGTGATTTAATTATAAATATTTTATATATAAAGATAGAAGGAGTATACTTTGTCACTTGTAAATTTAAAAAAAAAATTATTTGTGAACATTTAAAAAGTTACTTGTGAAAAGTTAATTTTGAGTGGATATGTAAAAACATGAAAAAGTAAATTATTGATTTCTGGTTATGACTATTTATATTCATTCATAATTCATATTTCATATATTTATAAGTAACATTTTTTAAATTCACAACTGATTATCTCTAAATCACATATGATATAAAAATTATCTACATTGTTGACTTTCCTAAAATTTACAAATAATCATCCTTAAATTCATGAGTGATGATATAAAGATTTATAAAATTATCTATTCATTCACAATATTAGTTGCATAATTATCACACTCACAACATCACAAGCATTAAATCTGATGTTCACATTACCAAAATTCATTGAAAATTCAAAGCTTCAAAACGGCACTAAAATTCGAATCCTTTATTTTCAAACAGAGACTTTCAGAAGAGATTTAGAAAAACCCAGAGAACAAAAATGAAGCCCACGCAAGTCACACACTCACACAATTGATGAATTGACTTCTCTATGCGGGACATGGAGTGTGGAGTAAAGCCCCCCTTTTCCTTTCTGGTAATACATAATTATCTCCTCGCTGGTCTATGCCCCGAGATGTGCCATACCTTTTCCGATCACAGGTATTGTCGAACCGTGTCTTTCAAAACCACCGCGTTGCTGGATTTCATAAACCTCTTCTTTTTTTATGCCTATGTTATAGTGGGATTTGCCCCATCCAAATAAATAAGGATCAAGATATTCGAGGCTAATCCACTCTTCCGGAAATCGCCCTTTATTAAAACTTTTTTAACTTATAAATGAGTTGCTTCTCGACTCACACTCCTCTCCTATCTTTTTAAGAGCTGCCATGGGCATTTTTCTTTCCTTGGATGCTATAAGAATGGGCTGGCTCTTGCCCCGTATGAAAATGGACAAATCCATTAAGAGTATCATTTGTCACTTCTCTTGATTTCCCTCTCACTTTCTTTTTCTTATCTCTTCCAAATCCCCATCCTCTCTTTTGTGGTTCCAAATGAGACTTGGGAAGGTAACCTATATGTGATTTTGAGCCCTAAACTTATCGAAAATTCATATTTTCACATTAAAATATTAAAATGTTTAAACTCAACGACAATTTTTAAAATGGCAATGTTTTCTAAAGTTCAATCTTATATAAATGTAAAGAGTTGGGAGCTCATTGTGTAAACTTCTGAAATTATAAACTTATAATTTCAAATTTGTGAGTTCAACCTTATAATTGATTCTTACAACTAAACTTTTGGAATTTATAAACTTGTACACTTTATGACTGATTTATAACCAATTTTCTAATTTTCATGATGGCAAAAAAACAAAATTCTAGAATGTAAAAGAGATTAACGGAGGCATAAAAGAGATTCTTGATTCTCAATTATCATCTCAGAAGCCACCAAAGCAACTGAACTCGTGGATTAGTGCTGTAATTTGACAAATGAAAGTAAACACATTAAGTTTCCAAGAATAAATTAAACAAGTTCTGCAATACAAATTTCAAGCATTGATATCACATAAGATCAGTAATGTTTTTAATGATTATCATAATGAATAGATGATACTTTATCTATTAAAAAATATAAAATATTTTTAATCGAATCTTACCTTTCAATAAAATAGTTAATTATATTCAAACTAATAACCATCACTTCATATTTATTCTATTTAATAAAGTATTTTACCTAAAATAAATACAAAATAATTTATTTATTAATGACAATTTTGAAAAAAACACCATCATTACACCTTGAAATGCATTGGAGAAAAAAAAATTCCTTGAAATACTTAAAATGTCTTATATTTTTTAACATCTAACTTTTTAAATAATACCTCACAATTTTAAATAGAAGGAATATATACTAATAAGCATTAGTTTTAATGAAAAAGACTATACTCCCTCTATTCAAAAATATAACACATTTTTAACCGAATCTTACTTCTCAATAAAATAATTACTTACTTTTCAACCAACCCTATTTTTTTATATTTACTCCTATTAAATACTTACAATAAGCATAAAGTTATTATCAATAATGATACTTTTGAAAAAAAAAATAATTACACCTCAAAAAATTAAAAATACTTTAAATTTTTAACATCCTAACTTTTTAAAAAATATCTTATATTTTTGTACAGAAGAAATAATTGCTTAACCACGAGTCAAGTTTGTATGAATATAGAAAATATTTTTGGCAGAGCTGTCCCCCATTCTCTTTAAATTGATTCAATCAGATAGCCATTAAAAAAGATTATTTTAGCGAAAACCCTCGCAACTAAAATTATAGCAAACAATAGATCCTAGAAAACTAGATTATTCATTAATTGTACTGCAAATATAAAAACATTAAACAATGCACATGAAGTCCCGCACGAAAAAGATCTAATACTACGCATACATTTCCAGAACCTCGACAGAGGAATAAAAGAACCAATTTAGAAGGATAAAAGCGTGATCTTTACCTGGTTTTTAATTGTGGTAATATCTAGCTAGTTCGTTCGTTCTTTCTTTCTTTTTTCATAAAGTAGCCAGTTCATATTTATTTGTTTATAATTATAATTTCATACTGAGAAATAACTCCATCAACCAATTACATTTTAAAAAATTCAGACCAATTTAGAAGCTTCAAAATGTAGTGAGCATATATATAAACCAATTTAGAAGTTCCATGTATCCATGTTACTGGAATGCTATTCAACATATACAAAGCAAATAAAAGAAATATATGTAATTAAAAAAAAACAAAAGTAAAGAAAATCAAGTTGACAACACAAGCATGCACAGCTATATTAGTTGCTATACGTAAGTACATAAGAAAAACAGGAACATGGTTTCTGTTATCAGCACAACTCCACATCGGTAAAACTGACATTACTGAAACAAGTCATATTCACAGAAACTAAGACAAACCAGAGACTTCTAATGGTCGCCTATGTTAACAACACTAAGTGACCACAGTTTTGATACAAAAGTTGTGAAATTCTTTATACAAAGCCACAACTATAGCATATATTATTCATAGGACGACCATTTTTTATCCTTTTCTTGTTTTCTTTTCTTTTCTTTTCTTTTATTATCATTATTATTTATTTTTTTTGCAGCGTTCATGAGGACAAATTCATGTAAAAAGACTAAAATTTCGAATTTTGCTTTCACCAACAATGAACATTAGTAGATTTAAACTGCGGCCAATGATTAGCACCCACCACTTGCAGGTTCGATTGAACTGAGCAGGCCATTGCCTCTAAGTTGCATGCAGTGTTCTTCAGCATCAGCTTGAGCACAGATAATCACCACTGACAATCCATTGTAGTGAGCATCTAGCATGATATCATATGCATTATCAAGGGTCATCCCAGGAATGACCTTCATTAATACTTGTACAACGTATTCCCTTTTATTGAAGTCGTCGTTGTGCAATATTACACGATATGGTGGTGCAGATTTCTGTGATTTCCTGCATGTCTTAGAAAACAGAATCAAATATTTTCTTTCACTTATAATTTTCTTTTCTTTAGAAATGAAGTGATAATAGATAGATAAATATGTCTAGTCCATATGACAGGCTAAAAGTATAACAACAGCATAATATAATTATACAGGCTGCAGAAGTCTAATATATGACCAAAGTAAAATGTAATATAAAGTCTAATATAAATGTAAGAAACCAAATTAAAATATATGACCACACAACCCAAAATAAAAGCATTGACTAGAGAATCCTTTTTTTTCAAATTTAAAAATGAAAATCATATAAAAAAACAACTAATAAATAAATACAGAACCACCTGCATAATCCACAATAATGGATCCCTCTAGTTCGTTTTTTTTCCATCAGGAAGGTTAGGCATAAACAGCTATTCAAGTTTTCCCAACAAAATCCGAAGTGTTTAAAATTAAAGGGGCTAAAGAAACAAGTAAAACAAAATAAAAATAATACATATTTGGCATCATCTAATCAAATGCAATCTCCAATCTTCCACAAGACAGTTTTACCAGCATAGAATCAAATTATCGCACACCTTAAATTATTGTTCCCATTAAAACTGACACCATCGGAAGAACTCCTAAAAAATCCCTGTTGTTAAACCATGGTGCTTCCTATATTTCTTCCTCTTATCAAATGGTTTCAATGTTTAGCCATTACATACGCAATCCCCTAATACTTGTAGTTAATACAGTGAAGTTGTAAAATTAAGTCAGCCCCATCATAAATTTTAAGTCGATACTTTCCACATCAAAATTTCTCTATACCTCAAATCAAATTCAGATTCACGGCCAGGAGTTCCCTTTTCAATAACCGGCTTCTCCAGCAGTCCCCCTTTGCCTGGTCCTGTTGCTAATACAGCCATGGGAATGCAAAGATTGGAGCATGGTCCTTTGCAAAAAGAATATTTGTTCCCTGTATTGCAGATTTTTCTTCAGTAAGTGTTCTTGAAGCACTCAATCAAACACAGAAGAATTCAAGGTTCTATGTTCACCAAAAGTGAGAAGGGTCAACACAACACAAATATAAGCAATTAAGCATGACTCTTAATTTATCTCCTTTGTGACAAAAATGAGATATTTGTTAGTCTTCTGCTAGTTTTGTCCGATTATTGTTAGTCAATTGCCGCCAGAATCACACTTCACTTTTCAAGCCACCAATTCTCCTACTGATTCTTTAGTAGAAGAATTTGTAGGCAGAAACAGAAATCTCCAAAAAGAAAATCTGCATCTGCCCAAGTCCTAAAGCTGAAGTGGTTTCCTAGCATTTATTGCCAGCTAAATAATCCATTGATTTGACAACCGCTTCAAATGCCCAGATACTCTATCTCATATTCCCAGAGTGGGTGCTAAACCAGTTTTACCATTCTTGATGGAGTAGCTTTAGTGGCCTGTCTGGTATGGTGAGAGAAACAGAATACATTTCTGGTGCAAAAACGAGATATGTAATGTTTATACTCATTATTATGTTAATCAATGCGTCCATTCTTTCCGATCACCTTTTTTACACAATAGAGGCACGAATATCATCTACACCGCACGAAAACATTCTTTTTTAAGTTAATTTCTCTACATTCTGTGTACGAGATGAACGGTTGGTTCTGACTCACTTCTAGTTCATTAAGGAATTTGACATCTGCGTATAAGTATAAATTCATTATGTAACCTTAATTCTGGAAAAGGGAGGAAAATAAGGAAAAATCAGTGAAAGTTTGTTGATCCAATTTTCTGAGGTTATGCATAGGTTGCTCTGCTCTATCTTTAGATTTTGCAGATTAACCTAGAGCCACTCGAATTGATGAAGCGAAGCTTCCAAAGTACTACTCCTGATGGATTGCAAAATAGCACTTGGCAGCTAATTATACAGAAAAACAAAAACTAACTTCCCAGCAAAAACGTTCCAAAAGTGGCGGAAAAATAACGTATGGTGATACATAAGACCAGCAGGAGTAATTATTCGAAACGGCAGGTTCTGAAAGTGAAGTAAACTTGAACCAGAAAATTTCCAGGAATCGTGATAGACAACACTCGAAATCAGAGAGTAAAAGAGTAGAGTGTCAAAAGAGTCAAAAAGAAAGTACCAGGATTAGGGTTGAAGACGTGGTTGGGAGAGAGAGCCAATCTCCCACTCAGAGCAGTCTCCATCTCTCCCCCCTATCTCTCTCTCCCTCTCCCTCTCTTTCCGATGCCTCCGTTGGGAGGATTTTGGTGGGAAAGACCAAAAGACCGGGGGGGGGGGGAAGGAAAAGAGAAAATCAGAAAACATGACACATTTTTTACAAGAGATATAGCTCTTTGATCATTTTTCTCGTTTTCTGTGGGTTGAATGTCGGATTTGTTCTAGAAGCTTTAGGTCTGTTGGGACAGTTTTCTGTTCCTCATAATAAAAAAATAAAAATTTGTTTGATAATATTTATTTAAAAATATTTTAAAAAATAAAAAAATAAAATATTATTATGGAGAATAGGAAAATATAAACATATTTAAGTGTTCTGAAATTATTGTTCTGAAGAATAAGGGAGAATGAAAAAAATAATAATTTTTATTATTTTTTTTTGTTCTCAAAACATGTTCTACAAAATATCAATTCTTAGAGTAATAAAACAAAAAAAATTTTAAACATGCCTTTAATATCTTGTTAACTTTGGATTGGCATAATTTTTTTTCCCCTAAAAGTTTCAAAACTAATGTAATATCATTACGTTTGACCAACATTTCACTATTAGTTGAACAATTTTGATGATTAAGGGAAATTTTGTCCGAGAAATTTAGAGTAATTAATATCACAAACTTTCAATTGCCATAGTATTTTCAGATTATTAATATTAATATTCCTAGCACACAAAAAAAAAGATTATTAATATTTAACTTAGAAGAAGGATTTGACAATCGATAATAGCCCCGAAATCAAAAGACTTTGGGTTGGATTATAATTAAACTGGAATAAAAGCAACGCGCACCTTCCATTAGCCAACAACTGTTAACAAGATTTTGTATTTTCCTGGTTTAAACATTGACAACTCAATAATATTATGTCAGTTAAAATTTTGGAACATCATCAGTTCCTATAAAAAAACTTTCAAGGCAAAATTTCCCTTTAACCCTAGTCAAAATTAGTTCATTAATAATCAATGTTAGTCAACATTGCTATAAGATGACACTGTACTATTTTTAAAACTTTGGGAACATTGTGCTTATGAAAAATTACGGATATCAATTACTTATCAGGTAACTTTATCCCTTTAACCTTATTCTATTTAATAATTTAATACTAAAAAATTGTGAATTTGACCCCTTTTATAGTAGGAGTCAATGTTTTGAAATTTGGACCAGACATCGAACCTGGTAGAACAACAAGTCATAATCCTCATTTTTGAACTGGTTAGATCAGCGGTTGAACCGGTGACATGAAAACTAAATAAGAATAATATTTATACACACTCATATATACATAAAATATTAATTTGTCGATGGTGCTTGGAATCTCGATGCCAAAGGCCAGACCCATGCACCGCTGGAGTTAAAGGTAAAAGGCATGTCGACACAAGTTTGCGATCTCAAAACAAAACACTGGAGTTGGAGGCACGCCGTCATGTCATAACTCACAAGCTTTCAATCTCGATGCCAAAGGTTAGATCACTAGAGCTGGAGGAAAGATCAAAGATTGAGTCTAGACTGTGAAGGAAAGATCAAAGATTAGAGAAGAGAAGATAGAAGAGAATTAGATACCAGAGAAGAGAAATCGTGAGTTCGAGCGATTGAGCCTAAGTTTCCTTTTTTTCCCCCTTTGAGGCTTTTAAACTGGGTTGATCCGCTCCAATTTTCGAATCAAAATCGATTCTCTTTAATATGCTTAGGTCCACCCGGTCCAAATTTTCAAATGATCTGAATGGTTGAACCAAATCATTTTGTTGAGCAATCGATGGTCAGACTACGCAATTTGATATGTGTTTTAAAATACTGGTAGAAGTGGTTGTATTGCAAATTGATTAGGCGGGGAGGAGGTGGAGATTGGAGGAAAACACCAAAACCAAACTAGTTCGCCAATTTAAACTTTTTTTAATTATTTATTATCGGTGCAATTAATGAAATTAACTTGCTGGATAATTGTTTACCTCTAATTTTAAATATCTTCCAAGTATTACTACACATAATTACCAACAATTACAGATTTACTTGATAATTCCTACGATGACAAATTTTTAATTCACTGTTGAATTCAACGTGCAATTATAAATAAGTATCAATTTAATTTATTTAATTTTAAATATTAATTATGAAATTTAACAGTGATATAATATATATATATATATATATATATTTTACAAAAACGGTTATTTGGTTGCACTGAATGAACCTTGAATCAGTTCTTTGCCAATTCATTTTTAAAAACAGTCATCACACTCTGACCCGGGGGGAAACAAACATCATCTTCACCCAATATGTCCATATAAACGGGGGAAAGAGCAACTGATGCCCACAGTATCTAGGTAGCAAACTTGCATTGCGTTATTAACAGTAATTCATAATAACAATATAAAGCCTCCAGCATGGTTCTTCACGGTTCATGGGCATCAATTTTTTCGACAGCATTCTGAGGTTCAGACTCATACATCATGACTCTCATATAATCTTGGCATAGATTGTGGAGGAACAATATGCAGAACGGAGCTAACTCATGAATCCCCCTCCACCAATGTGGCGTGCACCTTGCGATCATACCTGTCCCTGAGGTACCACCATGTCCTGTTGCATAGCAACTTTCAGAGAAATAGTGGAAATATAAACAAGAAGATACCATTATTGTCTGGATTTTTTCATAAGAATTGGGTTTGTCAAGGAGATTTAGGCCTTGTTTGGTATGAGGTACTCAATTTTAAAAGACTGGGAATGGGATTAGGAATGAGTGAGAATAAGTTTTAAAATGCAGTTTGGTATGCCATAAGATTTAAAAAAAAAAAAACTCAAATTTAACCCCCCCAAAAAAAAAGTAGCTAAAAGACAACATTTCCCTCATCATCATCATCATCCTTCTCCTCTTTCCTGCCGCTATGTGCACCCCACCGTCAACACCATTCAATCCAACTAAAACAATAATGACTTGAACTTGAGTTTTAATGAGCTTGCATAACTATATTCAATTACTATTGAACTTGCATAACCAAATCTAGCTTCCAAACTTGAACCACATTCATCCTCCTTAGCCACCACCTCCAGTGGTGTCAAGCTCGCCAGAACCGGGCCAAGGAGGGAGAGGGCTTGCTGTCTAGCTCACCAAATCTAAAGTTCTAGGAATGCCGATGATGAGTAGCTCACCAAATCTGATCTTCCAAGGACGCCGACGATGAGCAAGGAAATGGAAGGGAGAGCAGATGTTTGGGAGCCAGGGGGGCTGATCCTCCAGCAAGCGATGGCAACACGAGGAAAGCAGATGGGGTAGAGGGCTTTGGTCTGAAAATATTCAATCTCAGGACTAATTTTCCAACACTGGTGGGATGGTGGTATTGGGCAATCCCACATAGATGGGATTGGGATTCAATTTCTCATTACCTTGTGCCAAACATAAAAAGCTGGTACCAGCCAATCTCAGTCTTAGTCCCACCCCACCAGTCCTCATATGAAACAGGGCCTTAGTGCAGAGTTTTAGGTTGGTTTTCGACTATAGAGGAAGGTAGAAGTTTAGGTTGCACAAGCACGCATACCAAGTATCCTACCCTTCATGAATGGGGATTCAAAATGTTCTTTCAAAATATAAGGTGCAAGTATAGTAATGTACTGCATGAATAAAGAATATTTTACATGATACAACATTTTTATAGCAATAAAAAATAGATAATGACCGTTCTGTATATATAATCAAACCAAAGGTCAGTTGCCTGTTGATAGTGTCATGATTGTGCTTTCATCAGAACCATGTTGGTAACATAACATGTTTGAAAATAGGTGTCTAAGCTTTATAGTTAACTCATCTCCAGGGCAAGAGAAGAGTAGCTCAACTTCCATCCTTACTACAGTGTAATAGCGTTAAATGGAGGTATCAACAACTAATTGAGAAGTACTCACTCGAACTCTCACGACAGTATAATAATAAACACAATGTTGCGTGTACCTTAAAATCGGCATACTTCAAAGAAACTCAGAAATTCTTTTGATGTGTGAGCTAATTGATTACGGAAAGAAGTGTGGATTCCATTCATCCCTATTCCCACGAAAGAGAAGAAAATTTAATGTTCAAGAAGCTTGAGTTAAGAATTTCTCACCCCAGGAAAAAGCATCCCAATCAAGCGGCAGGGTTTGTCAGAGACAGATAGTAGCAACGTCTGTGAGGGTAATTCGATAACGGCACACTGAAATGAGGAGGAAAAAAAGGACAAAAGAAATTCAGCACCAGAATAAGCATGCCAAAACCAAGAAATATAAACGGTCCATCCAGACAGATTATAATTTCAAGCGCAAATAACTTCATGTTAAGTAGATGATTATATAGCCACCTCTTATTTTTGTGGAGTTGAGTTGTATCAGAGAACTTAAATTATAGCAGATTGGAGAGCCCCGTTGAGCCCTCTCTTTCCCTTTCCTTTCCTTTGCTCAGTTTTTTCATTTTTTAATTGACCTAGGAGGGAGATTTTATTCTAGGGTAACGAGCATTTTTGCTTCTCGCTATTCGCTCAGAAACATTTGGTATTCTAAACCTTCAAGTGGTGCAATTTCCCTCCTCCACTTTTGAAAATTCTGCATCTATAAAAAGGGACCTCAAAGAAGACTCAATCGATATCAATTTCCTTATAGAATACTTATTTGTAATTTCATGGGTCCTTTTTTGTAAGTTTGGAGATCCTTTTCTCAAATATTTGGGTCAACTAACAGTAAAAGTTAATTTTTTTAATAGCAAGATGCCCAATGCACCATTTTCAAAAGTTGAATAAGAAAATTGCACCACACAAGGGAAAAAATGCCCTTTAACCCTTTATTTTATGCCCCCTCCTGCACTTCTTTTTCTAGTCAATTCTTCTTCTACTTAGTCTAAGAAGAAAAACACAGGAAATGCTGCCCGTTTGTTTTGTATGAGTCTCATAAGCACGCCCTGCCTGCATTCTCCTAATTCAAGTTTACAATAACTATCCCTTTACATGCAAACAAACAAAGAATACCCACAAAACAAGCTCGTAGCATATGCAGGCAGCAGGCACAAAAATTACAACAGTTACAATCCTTCAATGAAACAAGTAAATTATCCATTCTCATTCAGCATCTCAAAAATGGAGTTTGAAATAACACAGATAATTGTACAAAGTGTGATTTACAAATTTTGAGCGACTGGTTATACACTTGTGATCCCAACTTATATCCGGTAACAAAACTTTCTAGTTCATTGCCTAGACAAATTTGAAACCATTGTATTCAAGACATTGATAAACTGCAACTTTTAAACACAGATAATGAACCATACAATTTCAGCGCATATCATAAACTCACATATAAGGTTCACTTTATCAATTGGTTATTTTTTCCCACTGATAATTAACATATGGCATGAAATTATTATGCTTACAGCACAATATGGGACGTGCCACTCTTTTTAGGGAAGGAATCCAGAATAAAGTCGAGACTAATATAAACAATTACTTTCAAAGATAACATCATGCAGACAGAGTCACATGTAATCTACGCTGTTATATTTTTAGTGAAGTGATTTTTTTTTTTTAAATCTACAGATTTAATTAATTGGAGATCCTCGCATTATAACAGCTACATTTTATCTTCTGTCTAGAGCGAGGCTTATTGATTAATGATATTGTTGCAGATTAGTAGAAGAAATTAAAGAAAAGGGAAACAACAACAAAGATGCACTGATAAATTACCAGATTCTTTTCCTGTAGCTGAGCAAGAAATGGATGCGGGTTCAAAGCCTGAAAATCTAGGAAATCCGCCGTCCCAAGGTATTGCCTTTTGTCAAAACATTGACATGTCAGAATATCTACAGAATAATGTCTGAACACATACAGCTACGCACTCTAACATAAATGAGCGAGACCCAAGCTGAGCACAAAGGAGAAATTACTCGTCATTCATGCGGTCTTGAGATTGAAGACGAACTATTTCCATTGTTCGTGGCCAGTCTGATGCAAGCCTGGGACCCATAAGAAGCAGTCATTAACTTTTTATGATTACTGCCAAGTTAGGCCAATAAAGGTGACAATTTAAAGCAACTGCTCATGATTTAGGCCAGGAAGACATTTAGGAAAATCCCATACTACTTCAGCCATATTGATATAAATTTTGAGCAAATGATGTGTCACGAAAGTTAATATTTCGTATGTATTAAGGTAATTTACTGTGAAGAAATGGGAGAAATGTCGACCCAAATATTTACAATCACTTCCATTCGCACATAATACAGAATCCCAATGCACACTTTGCTCTGTTAAAAACATGTTCTTTAGATAAAGATTATAGAACTCGTAAAGGCAACCCTGAAATGGATTTCATAAAACACTAGAATTATAACTAAACTGGAAATCCAACTAAAATTAGTGTGAGCGGGAATATTGAGTAATTATTGTACATTATTAGTCTTTACCCTACTGTCCTCCCTCCAGTTGTATATACACACACTATGGCATCTCACATGAATGATAACAGAAAATATTTCCTTTTCTAAAAGCTACATGGCATCAGAGCCTGGTTTTGTTCAGGATTTGTAAGTCTGTTATTTCACACACATTTGAAGTCTAAAATGGAACTGACCAGCTATAATAGGGACTAGCATGCACCACATCATTTGAAACTCAAAAGCTGGACTGGCCCTAATTGGAAGCGCAAGAACTTGGTGTTTGGGGCATGTTCGATATGAGCAGCTTGTAGACTCACATTTGAAGAGGAGGTTGTTAGGTTATCCAAGTATGAGTGAACTTAAGCGGATATGGTAAATCCCACATTAAATAAAGTTGGACCCAATAACTAATATAAAATAAGAAGAAAGGACACATAAACTTGAGCCTATTAAGATGTGGTGTCCTTTCATTACTCTTACTCATTTCTCCTCTCCCCCCGTTTTCGAGCTCTATTGTCTTATCTCCAGTTGTATATAATAATATATATGTATGTATGTATATGCTATCACATCCCACATGAATGATAAGTGAAAATATTTTCTTCTCTAAAATCCACATTGAGTAATAGGGGCTCTAGTCACTTGAACAAGCAGTTAGGAGTTCAAATCTCATTCCTTGTATATGTTACAATTTAATTAGAAGAGATCTTCCATTTTCCTTCAACACTTCAGAAGAGATAATCTCTATTGTTGATAGAGTCTAGTCCTTATACTTGTTAAGGAAAAAAAAACCCAAGTGAGGAGGTTAGAAGTTTGACCTTTTCTGTTCCAACTCTCAAAATCAAAAACTCTAGGAATTTATTGATTTCGTGGATCAGTAGAATAAAAACTCAAAAGTTAGCTTCTCAAGATGCTTGTTAATAATGGTTACCCTGTTTCTGGCCCAAAAAAAAAAAATTTAATGGTTACCCACTGCCAAAAGCATGGTTCTAGGGAAATCATCATCTAGTAACTCAAACTTTTTGAAAAACCAAGTAAGCCATCAAGGCAGCGGGAGTCAGTAATTTCTTTAATGCAGAATCAACTTAACGACCCATAAAGAAAAGAATATTGGATTGACAGTTTTAGAAAGTCTAGCCACTGAAAATGATCCCTGGACTTCATGAAGAAAGAATAAATAAAGGGAAAAATAGTGATGAAGGACCGCTGGAGAAATTTTATATCAATTAAGGATAAATTGTTGTCAAAATCTGAATGAAAAACATCCTCAATGGATTGTTATTAATTTAAAATAAGTTGTAAAAATCTGAATGGATACTTATTGATAGAAAACTAACTCGAATCGACAAGTATCTATTCAACTTTTAACAATAAGTAATCCTTCATTGATATAAATTTCCTTCAGCGGTCCTTAATTGATATTTTTTTCAAGAATAAAACTTCCTGAACTTACGATTCAAAAGCTGAAGAACTCCGATGACCCTGCCATGAAGAAAGTATTCATAAAATTAATGCGTGCCACAGAATTACAGGAATTACCACTATCAGGAATAGGAATGAAACTGAAAATGAATAAGATTATTGCAATGGTCAAATAAGGAGATCTAAAATAAAATGAATAGAGAAGCAAGCTAGATAATCATCAAGTTTTGGGATCACACCTCCAGTCTGGTGATAAATACGGGCTGTCCTTGTCTTAGCCCATATAAAATCCCCTGCATGAATTGCAACAAGTAAGAATATAAAACTTATGCAAAAGCATGCAAGATAACAATAAGAAATTTTCACGACTTATGCTTTGGGGCAATTCCTACTTATCATTTGATGATTTACTATTATTTATGGTTACAGCCACTGGACAACATAGAATTGATTTATAGAATTTTAGAAAATAAAGAGATAATTTCAATGAGATTTAAGCAGAATTGTAAGGGCATATTAGATTTAATGAACCACAATAGAATAAACCGAGGTTTCAAAAACCCAACCAAACTGACCAATTCAACAAATGGGATCGAGAACCAGCTCTGAGTCTAGTTCAGTGAAACCTCAAACAAGCAAGTCAAAGACTAGATAACCCAATCAAAACCCGGCACGACCAGTTAGAATTACAAGGATTAAGAAGGGATCGAGACAAACCTCCCAAACCTTCACACAGTTTGATTGTGTAGATTGCATAGCACCTGAGGTCTGTTGCTGTGAAGGTATATTAGCTGCTGCATCATTCACAACAAGTGGTTGCATTATTCAAACGATAAAACATTCTTTTTTAAGTTAATTTCTCTACATTCTGTGTACGAGATGAACGGTTGGTTCTGACTCACTTCTAGTTCATTAAGGAATTTGACATCTGCGTATAAGTATAAATTCATTATGTAACCTTAATTCTGGAAAAGGGAGGAAAATAAGGAAAAATCAGTGAAAGTTTGTTGATCCAATTTTCTGAGGTTATGCATAGGTTGCTCTGCTCTATCTTTAGATTTTGCAGATTAACCTAGAGCCACTCGAATTGATGAAGCGAAGCTTCCAAAGTACTACTCCTGATGGATTGCAAAATAGCACTTGGCAGCTAATTATACAGAAAAACAAAAACTAACTTCCCAGCAAAAACGTTCCAAAAGTGGCGGAAAAATAACGTATGATGATACATAACACCAGCAGGAGTAATTATTCGAAACGGCAGGTTCTGAAAGTGAAGTAAACTTGAACAAGAAAACTTCCAGAAATCGCGATAGACTACACTCGAATCAAAGAGTAAAAGAGTAGAGTGTCAAAAGAGTCAAAATATTCAGAGAAGAAAGGCAAAAATGGGAGACAGAAGCGAAATCCAGAAGGTACCAGGCTTAGGGTTGAAGACGTCGTCGGGGGAGAGAGCGCAGGAAATGGCGGCCGAAAGAGCTAAAGGGAAGGAGATAATGACCGAGGAAGGTAGACAAAAGAAGAGCTGAGCTTGACGTGGGAAGGCCCAAGAACGTTCAACTTGGATAAAAAGGCCTCTGCAGAGGATCAGGCCCAATACGCTGCCTACAGGCCCACAGAAAGAATACAAAATGTGGTTGAAGGCAATAGAAGATATCTGGCTCAATTAGGCAGGCCCACCAACGATCTGATTAGCCGAAACGCCTCTGCCACCGAAGCTGATGAAGCAAAAGATGAAGAAGATACATATGCACCTAATTTAAATGTTTGGGGAGCTGACAATATGCACTCTCGTTTTGAAATAAATTCTCAACCACTCTCCAATCAATTATTCGACCAAAGTGAGCCACCTGACCCCATGGATAGCCAATCAATTGTCCAGGAAACTCAAATTGATGCTATAGCTGCTTTGGATCATCAAATTAACCCCTCCGGATCTGATATATCGGACAAACTAATTCATGGCAATTTTGATGATGAATTTCTGGAAGATGATCTTCTAGATGAGGATTTCCAGAATCAGTTTCAAAATGAGGACTTGAAGGATGATGAGTGCAATGATGACCAAATTGAAGATTTATAACAGTCTCCCAACTTATAAAATTATTCCAGGTTTATCTTCTCCTTTTATTTACTTTATGGATATTATTTGTTGAAATTGTAGAGGTTCTTATGTTAAAAGCTTCCCTAATCATATTAAAGAAATAACTAGAACTTACAAAACTCAAGTCCTTATTTTATTGGAAACTAGGGTTGATGGGGCTAGGGCTAGAGCTAACAACATTGTCAGAAAACTTGGTTACTTTGATTGGTTACATGTGGAAGCTACCAATGGCGCTAGTGGCATCTGGCTTTTATGGAATAATAATATTGTTAATATTGAGTATATCTATTCTAATGTTCAATTGTTTCACTGCATGGTTAACATTTTAGCTAATAATAATAGTTACATGCTCTCATGTGTTTATGGTGACCCTATCTCCCATAATCGTGACCTCTGAGACTCTATTATCTCTTTAGCACAGAATACTCCTGACCCCTAGCTTGTTGTTGCTGACTTTAACTCCTATCTTTCTTGCTAGGATAAGTTTGGAGGTGATAACTTTAATTAGAGATCTATGAAACAATTCAGGCACTATATTAATTCCTCCAATCTTCTCGAATTAAATTATCATGGTGAAGGATTTACTTGGGAGAAAGGTAAGATTAAAGAACGGCTGGATTGGACTTTTTGCAACGCAAATTGGTGACTTAAATTTCACCAAGTTGATTCTCTCCACCTTATCGAATATGGATCTGACCAACGCCCGATTAGAATACAACTTGAAAAGAAAGATCATCATCAGCATCACATTATACCTTTTCGCTGTCATGCAGCTTCGATGCCTGAAGAATCCTTTCATCCTTTAGTCAAGGAATATTGGATAGCTGAAGATTGGATTGAAAGGGTGACTAATTTTGCTACTACTGGCCCCAATTGGAGCAAGGATAAAATAGGCAGTATTTCTTCCAAAAAGAATAGAATTCTTCGTCGCTTGGAAGGTATTGATAAGATTAGAAACTCTTGAGACAATTACTTCCTTAGGAAGTTAGAAAAACTCCTTGGGAGGATTATAACCAAACCCTCTTACAGGAAGAGCTAATGTGGTTTCAAAAATCTAGATGCAAGTGGTTAAAATGGGGAGATCAGAATACCAAATTTTCCGTGCAACGTCTGTGATTAGACATAAAAGGAATCAAATTTTATCGATTAAAGACAAAGAGGGTAATTAGGTTCAGGATCAGAATAAGTTGAAAACCATGGTTGTTTCTTATTTTGATAACTTCTTTAAGGAAGATACCAATGCCAAATCTAAGCTTGTTACTGAAAGCAGTTTCCCCCCTTTCTCTGACATTCAGCTACAATCTTTACACAGAGAAATGTTCGACAAAGAAATTAAAAATGCTACTTTTGATATTGGAGCTTTCAAAGCTCCAGGTCCTGATAGTATCAACGTAGGTTCCATTCATACTTATTGGGACAACCTGAATAGTAGCATTATCAAATTTGTCAAGAAGGTCTTCAGCGATCCTAAATTTATCGAGTTGGTTAATGACACTTTTATCATTCTAATCCCTGAGAATGACTATCCTACCAACATGAAAGACTTTCGTCCTACATCTCTTTGCAATGTTAGCTGTAAAATTATCACTAAAATCCTTTCCAATCGCCTTCGAGCTTGTATGAATAATTTAATTAGTGATAATCAATGCAGATTCATTCAGGGGCGATAAAGGAGTGATAATATCATTATTGCTTGGGAAATTATTCATTCCATGAGAAGGAAAACATGTAAAAAGGGCTTCATGGCTATTAAAGTGGACCTTGAGAAGGCTTTTGATAGATTATCGTGGAACTTCATCGATGACGCCCTCAAATTCATTGGGTTAAACAAGCACTTTAGAAAACTCATTCAGGCGGCCATTTCTACCTCCCGCATGCGAGTCCTTTAGAATGGAGAGCCTTTTATGGAATTCACGCCTTCCTGGGGCATCCGTCAAGGGGATCTTCTTTTTCCTTATCTTTTTGTCCTTTGTATTGAATGCTCAAGCCATTGCATTAATAGTAGCATTGATAATAATGAATGGGCCTCGATTAGGCTTAACATTGCATTAATAGTAGCATTGATAATAATGAATGGGCCTCGATTAGGCTTAACATTGCATTAATAGTAGCATTGATAATAATGAATGGGCCTCAATTAGGCTTACAAGTATAGGCCTCCAATTTTGCACTTATTTTTTGCTAATGATCTTCTTCTTTTTGCAGAATGCTCTCTCTCTCTCTCAAGCCTAAATGTCTATCTGACTTTTGTAATGCATCTGGACAAAAGATAAATGCTGATAAATCCAAGCTTTTTTGTTCAAAGAACGTTAACACCAATAGAGCTATGCAAATCAATGAAGAGTTGGGAATTCCTCTTATAGGCAACCTTGGAAAATACATAAGAACTCATATAATTCATGAAAAGGCTTCCAAGCTTACTTTTATGCCTCTTCTCGACAAGATGAATATCTGTATGAAAAACTGAAAAAGCTGCTACTTGAACATAGCTGGGAAATCTGTTCTTATCAAGCTTGTTCTTTCGGCTCTTCCTAGCTATATCATGCAAACCATGCTTCTTCCTGATAATGACCTATATGAATTAGAGTGGATTTCTAGAAATTTGCTTTGGGACTCATCCAATGGTACCAAAAAACCCCATCTTCTTTCTCAAGACTGTATTATCAAGGACAAAAAAGATGGGGGTCTTAGTCTCAGGAATCTTAAAAAGCAAAATACTGCCTTCATGATGAAACTTTGTTGGGGCCTCATCACCAAGCCCAATTGTCTTTGGGTGTGTGTCCTTCATGATAAATGCAAATGCAAATGCAATAAACCCAAAATTCTGATGGTTGTCAATCCTAACTCTTACTCCTATACTTGGGGTAGTGTGTAAAAAGTCTAGGATAAATTTATATGCCATATTGGTTGAAAAATTAGCAAAGGAGATGAAATATCCTTTTGGTATGATAAATGGTCTCTACTCCAAAAGCCTCTTGTTAATTACGCTTTCCCCAATGCTGACTCTATCCTTCACGCAAGAGTCTTTGATCTTTGCAATAATGTTAAATGATGGAACTTTGATCTCCTAAGCCACTACCTTCATTCTGATGTGCTCAAGCAAATTTCAATTATTCAACCTCCTAATCAACATAATGAAGATGATTATCCTCTTCTGATGGCAACTTTTTTATCAAATCTGCTTACAGAGCCTTGGGTACTCACAAGGACCAAAATCACTCTGATATCTGGTCTATGGTTTGGAAGTGGCCTACTTATAAAAAAATAAAAAATTTCCTTCAAAAAGCTGCTTGGAATCGTATTCAAAACAACTACTCTCATTCTATAGGAAACTCTTCACAACAACGTTATTGCCCTTTTGGTTGTAACTCTTCTGACTCCACTATTCATATTCTAATAGATTGTAAAGAAGCTAAACAGTTTGGAAAAAACTGGTAAATCCTATAAAACTTTACACTTTTCTCTCTCTTGGATTACAGGATTGGATAAGATGAAACGCAGAGAATGAAGAAGGGAGCTTGAACACAAGAAGAACACATTGGCAGAGTCTATTCGCCCAAGCCTGCTGGAATATTTGGAAAGCAAGATGCAAGAAGCACTACTCCAAAGATGAGATTTGAGATAATGATATTGCCTTCTTCAGCAATCAACAAATCTGTAATGACATGAAGCTTCTATCCAAAATCAATCACTTAAATAAAAGAAGCACTAGTTATGATACTAATTGGAAATGATCTGAATTCAGATGGGTTAGACTGGACGCTGATGGTGCTGTTAATATTAATGGAGCTGCTGATTGTCAAGGCATCATGAGAAACGACAAAGGAAATTGGATCAAAGGTTTTTTCAAGTATCTTAGCTTTCAACCTAGCACGGCTATTGAGCATATGGGAATCCACGAAGGGCTTATCCTCTGTTGGAATGAAAAGTTATACAAAGTTAATGTTCATTCAGATTCAATGGAAGCGCTTTCTCTCATCAACTACAACTACTCTAGAAGTCATCCTTTCTTTGACATCATTACAAAAATCCGAGATCTCACAATGAGCGATTTGGTGGTCACGTTTGATCATATTTATAAAGATTCAAATAGATGTGCTGATTGTTTAGCCCACCAAATATCTCACAATAATTTTGATACTACAATCTTTGATGTCCCTCCGCATGCTTATAGAAGCCTTTTGGCTCTAGACATGACTAGATCTTAGTCTTTTTGCACAGCTTGCTGTGGCCATGTATTCAAAAAAAAAGAGCCAATCTCCCACTCAGAGCAGTCTCCATCTCTCTCCCCCTATCTCTCTCTCCCTTTCTCTCTCTTTCTGATGCCTTCGTTTGAAGGATTTTGGTGGGAAAGACCAAAAGAGGGGGGGAAGGAAAAGAGAAAATCAGAAAACATGACACATATTTTTTACAAGAGATATATCTCTTTGATCATTTTTCTCGTTTTCTGTGGGTTGAATGTCGGATTTGTTCTAGAAGCTTTAGGGTCTGTTGGGACAGTTTTCTATTTCTCATAATAAAAAAATAAAAAATTTGTTTGATAATATTTATTTAAAAATATTTTAAAAAATAAAAAAATAAAATATTATTATGGAGAATAGGAAAACATAAACATATTTTAAGTGTTCTGAAATTATTGTTCTGAAGAATAAGGGAGAATGAAAAAATAATAATTTTTATTATTTTTTTTGTTCTCAAAACATGTTCTACAAAATATCAATTCTTAGAGTAATAAAACAAAAAACAATTTTAAACA